CTTCCAAGTTGGATCCTGGAAGTGATAGGGATATCCCATTTATAATAATTTTATTCCATTTGATAAGCATTTATTAAGCACCTATTACATACAAGGCATTGTACAATGCAGTGGTGGGATCCAAAGACACTAGAAATAGTCCCTGCTCTTGAGGAGCATATATACTACTGGAGATACAACATTTACATGGATAAATAAGTGCCATGAGGAGGGAAAGAGCATTGACAACCAGGAGCCAAGGAATAAGCTCAGCCACTTATTGTTATTGAACAGCCAACTGAGGGAGCACTCTGCTACGAGGGAAGCTTGATTTTTTTTCACCACCTGCCCTCCTCTCCCCATACTCACTGACTAATTGGGAAGAATTTACATCTCTAAGCTCTACTTCTAATATGTCTTACTCAGCATGCACTGTGGACTGATGCAATGCATGTTGGATATTCAGAAAACTTCTTTCACCAAAGTCTAGTTTAATCCTAGAATTTCTCACTTCTTTACCCCTCAAATCTCTAAGCATAAGCTGACTCCTAAGCTGTACAACCTCTGGGGGCATCCATCTTAAATGCCTAGCCTATGATAACCCAGGTGGGACAAATATTGTTAGTCACATGCTGGGTTATAGAACTTGTTTCAATTTTATATATCTTTGTGAGTGGATTCCAGATGATTCTGACCCTTCCTTCCCTTCCTCTCCCAATGTAATATTTGGAAACCCTCCCATCTTTGTCTCCCCCATTCTATATTATAAAGAGAGGGGGATAAGTTAATAATGACACTATTAATCAACCAAATAAACAATAATTATTTGTTAGGCATTGAGTACTATTATTTAGGGACACAGAGAAATTAAATCATAACGTTTATATTGTCTTTGAGGAGGCAAGACTAATAACAGATAATTCAAGATAGCATTTAAATAACTGCTGAATTGTGTATAGAATAAAAATTGTGGGAAGGGAGATAAATGATGTCTAGGGAAGGCAGGAAAACTACAGGCCTAGATTATTACAGGGAAAGTGAAATCAAAGTGCCTAAATAAGTACTTAGTTAACTGACATGGATTCTGATTGAAAAATCTTTTAAACCAAGGAAACAAATATTTATTCTTTGTAAAGTAAAATCTTTAGCCCATGGTTTCTTCATCTGGGACAAAAAAAGATGCTGTTTGGTAATGAGTTTATATATTTGCTTGTGAATTAATATGTGTACTGCCAGGGCATGGTTTTGGGTGAGTAGTGCTGTATTTGTGGTGTTAGAGAGTCTATGCTTCTATGTTAAAGCTCGTGGAATGAATGCTTTCATTTATACTAGGAGAGGTTGGGAGGAGGGAGAGAGAAAGGGAAAATTCAGTTTGATTCCATTAAATAAAAATGTGTTAACATTTGAAAGTAAAGCACCTGGAAGGTCTTAGTTCCTTTCCTCTCCTATGCAGTTGGTTAAACTTGAAATAGAATCTTGGAGTTGAAAGGGATCTTAGTGAATCTCCCACTTAATGTAGAGATTCCCTCTACAATATCCTTGATGGATAGAGTACCATCTATCCTCTGCTCAAATACTTACAGGGATGGGAAATTCACTACCTTAAATGGAATTTCATTTCATTCTTGTGAGAAAGTTTTTCCTTACATCTAGCTAAAACTTAGCTCCCTGGGTTTTAACCCATTGCTAGAGCCACACTGAAGAAGCCAAATCCCTCTTGTACTCAATAGTTCTTTAAATATTTAACAACCCTTGTGTCTCTTCCCCCAAAGGTATGTTATTTTCTAGACTAAACATCACCAGTTTCTTCATTCATTATCTGACATGATTTCTAGAACCTTTGTCATTTTAGTCATGATCCTCTGGACATGTTCCAGTTTCTGAATATCCCTCTTGCCTGAAATAGAACTCAGTATTTCAGATGTAGTCTGACTGGTGCAGAATCCTCATGGATGTGGGGGGTCATGAGGTTAGAGCTAAAAGGGAATTTAGGGATGATTTAATATGATTCTCTCATTTTGTAGATGAGGGAAATGAGGCCCAGTTTAAGACATTTACCCAAATGGTTGGTGAAAAGTGAGGCTGGGATTCACAGCTAAGTCCTCTGATTCAACATAGCACCACTTATCGAAGGTTTGACTATATGATTCCTATGATCCCTTCTAATGCTAAATCCTGTGATTGATCCTATAATCTGGAACCTGGACCTCCAGGTGCTCTTCTTTCAAACATTAAGAAATTTTGGTTGAATTAAATTGAACTGAATTTTCCCTTTCTCCTTCCTCTTAATCCTTTCTAGTATCAAAGAAAGCATTCCTCACATGAACTTTTAGCATACAAGCACAGTCTCTCAAACACCTCAAATACATTACTACTCACCCAAAGCTGGATGAACAATTACAACAACCTTTAATGGTCTAAAACAGCACTAAGACTTTTGGGACACTATGTATTTCTAATAATGCAATTGGAGATTTCAATAACTTATTTGGAGGAGGAGGAGGGCATCTTTATCACTTTGTTGACTTATATTACATTTCAGGTTCACTTAAAAACATATTTAAAGAAACATATACAACATTTTATTGATGCCTTTATATCACAATCATTTATTACCCCTATCCTCCACTGAATCCTTTCTTATAAAAAAGAGAGGTGTTGGTGTTATTGAGTCAAGTCTGACTCTTCATGACCCCATTCAAGATTTTCTTGGCAAAGATACTGGAGTGATACGCCACTTCCTTCTCTAGCTCATTTTACAGATGAGGAAACTGAGGCAAACAGGGTTAAGTGACTTGCCCAGGGTCCCACAGCTGGTGTCTGAGGAGGGATTTGAACTCAGGAATGTGAATATTCCTGACCCCAGGCCCAGCATTCTATCCACTGTACCACCTAGCTGCCCTTAAAAAAAGAGAGACAATTAAACAAAAATATCCAATACAGAAACCTTGTCTGGCAACTTATATAATGTTATGTCCAAGTAGTCCTCCATCTCTCCCTAATAAAGGAGGAGGTGTATTCTAAGTCTTTTACACTTGAAACCCCTGGACAATTGCAATGTCTTGCAGGTTGATTTCCTTCCCTTAAGTATCTCTCCACTGCACTCTATCCTCCACTCAGCTGTCAAATTGATTCTTCTAAAGCATAGGTCTGACCATGTTACCCCCACCTCACCCCATTCAATAAATTCCTGGAGCTCCCTATCACTTCAAGGATCCAAATATAAAATCCTCCATTAGGCTACTAAAATCCTTCATAACCTGGCTCCTTTTTATCTTTCCAGTCTTCTTTTTTTTATTTTATTATTTATTTGTTATTTTTATTTAGTTATTTGTTATTTTTTGTTTTTTTATTTTTATTTTTTGTTTTTAAGTTTTCATTTATTTATTTATTTATTTTTATTTTTTTCTTTCCAGTCTTCTTAACATTATACTCTGAGACTCTGATTCAGTGACACTGGTTTCCTTGCTGTTCTTCCACAGGACACTCGCTCTTCCGGCTCTGTGCAATTTCAATGGCCATCCCTCGTCTCTGGAATGCTTTTCCTCTCCTCTTTGCCTTCTGGCCACCTTGGCTTCCTTTATATCCCACCTAAAATCTTACCTTTTACAAGAAGTCTGTTCTGATCTCCTTTATGCTAATACCTTCCCTTGGCTGATCACCTCCAATTTATCCTTTATATATTTGGTTTGTGCGTAGTTGTGTGCATGTTGTCTCTTCTACTAGGCCGTGAATTCCTTGTGAGAGCAGAGACTATATATTTTTTTGTTTTGTCCCGTCTTGTCTTTCTTTGTATCCCCAATATTTAGCACAGTCCTTGGCTAATAGTAGGTGCTTAATAAATGCTGTTGATGACTTGATGTAGCTTGACTTTTTCAGGAATTAATACTAAGCCAGGTCTCTCACCCTTTGTACTTGTATGGGTGGCTTTTTGGAATTAAAAGCAGAACTTTATATTTACTGCTATTAAATTTCACCTTGCTAGCTTGGAATCAGTATTCCAGTCTATGAGAACTTTTGAATCCTAACTCTTCTATTTAACATATTAGCTAGGCCCTCAGCTCTGTGGTATCCACAAATATGATAAAAGTGACTTATGACTTCCTCTAAGCCTGATAAAAACTGTCAGCTCTGAGCCAGGAACAGAGGCTCTGCTTCCTTTCTTCTTTCTCCAGTTATCTGAATTCCCTGCATCTGTAAGGCCTAGTTTAAGTCTTGTGTCCTCTGGGAAGCCTTCTCTGATCATCCCCTGCCCACAGAGCAATCTTTAACTTTTATATCCCTCATTGCCACTGATTCACTGCCTTGTATTGTGAACTTGCCATCCCAATGAGATTCTAAACTCCTTTAGGGCTGAGACTAGATTTTCACCATTTCGGTATTCTACAGGGTACCCAGTAAAGTACCTTACACACAGGAAGCACTCAATAAATCCATACTTAGAGAGAGGTACCATTTATAGTTAGGTAAATAATAGTTTAGGCATAGTAGAAAATGGCTGGGAAATCTTAAACTAAATTTGGGGAAACTCCTGATGGGCCATACTCATTGGCAGTGAATCAATTGTCCAAGAAGCCTCTCTTTAGAGGGACTGCACATCCTTTTCACAATCTGCATTCTATTCAGGACCCTTCTAGCAAGAAGATTTGTTTTGATTCATGCCCAGAGCTAACTGGGCATCAGCAAAGAAGGGGTGGGTGTCCATGATTGGAATAGCAGATGATCTTGGTCCCAAGCAGGGGTGTCGGGCTGCATTTCCATACTTGGAGAACAACTTTCCCTGTGGCAGACAGAGCCTCCCAGACTGAGTGCCCCTCACTCCTCACGACCCTCGCTGCTCCTACAGCCCTGTAGCTTTGCTCAGCAGGAGCAGCGCAAGTGGGGCGTGCCCCCACCCTGCCCCCACAGCTGCAGTCGGTCCAGCCCCTCCAGCTGGCTGAGCCCATCCTAACAGCTCCTTCCAGCCATTGGTCCATCCAGGGAGGAGGCGGGACCGGGGGCCCTATAATATTCAGGCTTAGCGTTCAATAGGGGAGGGAGTAGCCGGTTGACTGACTCATTCTGTGGCTCCGGTCCCCGGAGAAGAAGTCAAAACACAAACAGGCTTGAAGAGCTTGCAGAGTCAGCCCAGCGGGGCCACAGCGCACAAGCCCGGGCAAGAGCTGCCCTCTGAGCTCTGGTAGATAGCATGAAGGGCCCCAGCCTCCTCCAGACACTTTGGAGACTCTTGTTCTCCCTGTCTGTGGTCTTGGCTGCCTCTGGTGAGTTGGATTCTCCTCTTCTAACCTTCCCTCTGTAGTCTGAAATGTTCTCAACTTCGGGACAATTTGGAGACTCTCAAGGAAAACAGTTGCTACTTGGGGAGTCGGGGGTGGGATGAGGGTGGGGCACTTGGCTGTTGATCTTCTCTTATCCCAGCCGCTTTGTAGCCTGGACTGTTCCCCCACCCACCTCCCTTCACCACCATATCTTATCCAGAGGACAGAGGGGTTTATGCAGTGCGGTGGCCCTGGCTTTTCTTTCCTAGTCTGATTTTTTTTTTCTAATGAAAAGTGATGTGCCATGTATGGTCCTTTCCAATTTATATTTCTCAAAAGAAGAGTGACTCAGACTGTGTATATTTCGTCTCTACCCAGGGTTTTCCATCTCCCTCATCCAGAACTCAGGACAGAGATGGGTCTGTTGTGATGTGGGCGCAGTCAAGCAGGGCATGATCCAGGGACTTGGCAGAGCAAGGGGTGAAGCCCAGGGTGAGGGGGGAGGGTGGATCCCGAGCTAGGACTCCGGAAAAAAGAGAGCTTCTGGATGAGAGGCTGGCTTAAAGGAAGCTGGCATTCTGATTTGCTTCCTGGATGATCTTGGGCAGCCCCTCTCTCTTTTCAGAGCCTCATCAGCTTCCACTGAGAAAAGGGTAAGGCATTGTCTGGTCACAGCACTGCTGAGCAGACTTAGAAGGTGTGAGTGAGGTGCCTTTTTCTGCTTTTTTTTGTGCTGCTCCATATATGATTATACTCGGTTATTGGCGATCAACCCACTGTTTGGGAAAGGTATGCATGGGGAGGTGAGGAAAATGGAGAGCTGGAGGAAGAAGGGGAAAAGGGAGATAGGAGTTCCAGTCACCAACCTCACCATTCCTTTTTGAGTCTGAGAAATTGTAACTGGCCCAGTATGCTAGCCACACAGTTAGTAAATGGCCAAGGCAAGAATCAAACTCAGGACTTCCTGACTCCAAGACACTGGCCAATATGCCCAGCTGCTTCCCTGTGAGATAGGAGGGAGCTGAGTCTGGCTTCAGGCCAGCCTTGTCTAAGTTATGGGAAGGTCTCATGCTTTAGTCTGGTCCCCAGGACCTAGAGAATAGCGGCATAAGGGAAGTGCTGGATGTTCCAATACTTGTGAACAGTTTCTTAGGAAGGACTTGGGCTGGGGGAGGGGGAGGGGAGGAAGTCCTAGACTCAAATTCTTGTTCTTCTCTGGTAGTCCCCCAGTGAAGGTAACATCTGAATTGAGGAGCTCTCGGTCCTACCACCTATTCTCCTCTGATTAATTTGGGATAAACCAGGAAGTCAGGAACCTCTGTGACCTTGAGCTAACTATTTAAAGTATGTTCATGGAATCAAGACCCAGAAAGGAAGCTTAGAGATCATCTAATCCAATTTTCTCATTTTATAAACAAGGTGTATAGAAATGAATTGACTTGTCCAAGGCCATACAGCTAGTTAGTGAGGTCTCATTGCCATGAAGAGGAGAGATGAAAAATCCGGACCAATGTGATTCTTTCCTGTAGTTTCACAGGTCAGGAGAAAGAGCCCCTGCTATAGAATGCCTCTCTTCCTCTTTGCTAGAAAAGGCAAGAACCTTTAGTTCCTGCCTGAAAGAAATAGGCCAGATCAAATGCATTCTTTATTTCCTTCTCAGCTATATGGTTCAGGTGTACTAGAAACCTTTCTCTTTCACTTTCATTACCTTACTAGTGAATGCCTTTGCCCTGGGGCTAAGGTATTTGAGGAGCACTTGGGATTGGTTTGGCCACACTGCCTTGGTATAAACTGTAAAGCTGTCTTTGGTTACCTTACTAGTCTCTTTATAGTCTAGCCCATCTGCCACAGACTCAACCCTCTGGAGGGTCAGGAAATGGGATTAACCTGCTATTTAAAGAACAATGACTAATAGCTTGTTAAGAGTTGATTTAAGTTCAGTGCCTGGTAAATTGGAGCTGGCAAAGTTTATTCCTCCTCTATTCCTCTCGCTTCACGGACAGGCATTCTTTCTGGGACCCTTGAAAATATGGAAGATCCCATCAACCTTGGATGGAGTGAATTTGGAAACTGGGCTTGTAAAATTGTAGAATGTCAGAGCTAAAAGGGTCTTTAAAAATCATCTAGTCCAAATTGTACCTTTTATACCTGAAGAAACTCAGATCTAGAGAGAAGAACCTGGTCCAAGCCTTTTAGCAAATTGAGGTTTCTTATTGCTAACTCACTGTTTTGAATCCAGCTCCAACCTGAAATTTGTCTAGCTCCCCTAGCTAAATTTGAGCTGCCTCAAAGCAATACTTTATGGGTCTATGACATGTTAAAAAGCAGTTATCAAGTAACTCTTTACCAGGTACACACCTTGAGCTATTAACTTGTAGGCGAAGAGCAAAGGGGAAGACTGGCAATCATAGTCGGGGCTATTGGGAATCCCAGTATACCCGAAATAGATTTCATGGAGGGTCTTGTTTCAAAACCACTGCTCAGGAAGTTGTCTCTAACAGCTAATTTTCATTCCAGGTGAGGATTGTGATCCCAGCCTGTGTCTGAATGGAGGTACTTGTCTGAATGGAAGTGAGAGTTCCACTTTCTACTGCCTCTGTCCTGATGGATTCACTGGGCAGAACTGCAGTGAGACTGAGCAAGGTATCCTGGCAGGGGTTGATTGGCTGAATTTTTCCTGAATTCAGATCCAGGTTTTGAGAATTCTAGAGGGCAGGGCAACTCCCTCAGATGACACTGGCATACTACCATTAGATTGTAAGCTCCTTGAGGGCACAGGTAGTCTTTTGACGCTTTGTATCCCTAGAGCATAGCATGGTTGGAGCCTGCACATAGTAGGTACTTAATGAATGTAGATTTATTGATTTTGAGCCAGGCTCACTACCTGAATAGTGAAAACTAGTTGGGAGAGGAAGGGAGGTAGCATTTGTAACCTTTGCTTGTTGTAGCTGCGTCATTGAATGGCCAAATTCCTTCCCTTAAGCCATGTTAACATAAACCCTACTGACTTCATCTAACTCCCAACCAAGCCTCTTTTTCCCTAGTGGGCTGGGGGACAAATTAGTCCTATTTTCTGGGCCAGGTGCTAAGATACTTGAGGTGGTGGTGGTGGTGTGGGATCTTCTTAGGAAAAGTGCTTTTATTTCTATTATTTCTTCAGTCCTTTGACTGTCCCCAGATCTCACCTGATCTTTGGGTCTCCCTTGGTTTCTCTTTTAGGGCCCTGCACTCCCAATCCCTGCCAAAACAATGGCCAGTGCCGAGTGGTGACTGAGTCCCGGCGAGGAGATGTCTTTGCCCAGTATGTCTGTGACTGTCCTGAAGAATATGAGGGCCCTCATTGCCAGAGAGCTATCAGTTCCAGTGAGTGCCATCAGGGTTGTTGGCAGGGGAGTGGGAAGGAACAAAGGGTATCCCTATATTTTGGGTAATGGTGATGATGCTTATCCCTGCACAGGGTGGATTCTGCGTAAATCTTCCAGGGGGATGGCAGGGGCTTGGTAAGATTTAATCAGAGGCTGGTAGTAGCAGAGAGAAGGGTCATATTAACAAGTTTTTTATAAAGTGCTTATTATGTGCCAGGCACTATGCTAAGCACTGGGGATACAAAGAAAGGTAAAAATAGGCTTTGCCCTCAAGCAGCTCCCAGTCTAATGGGGGAAGGCAACATGTAAACAGCTATGTACAGTTACAGGTTAAATTAGAGGTAATCTCAGAGGGAAGGTGCTAGTATTGGGGCGATGGGGTGGGGTAGAATTTGGGCTGAGTGTTGAAAGAATCCAGGGAAGCCAGGATGCAGAGAAGAGATGGAGAAGCAGTCACAGTGATGCCGTTCAGATATTTTAAAGGCTTTCCTTGGACCTGGTTAATTTACCCATACTTTGGGAGGCTTAGTGGTTGAGTTTCTTTATTTAACCAGGTTTCCCATTCAATTAAATCTTTTCTCTTCGAGGTAACTCTCCCATAGGCTTGTTCTCTTTCTCTAGGCAGCAGGCCAATTCCTGTACCCAGGTGAGTTGCCGTGGAGACACATGAGATCATTGGAATCTCTGTATAGGTCTCTTCTAGAAAGAAATGAGGTTAATGGAGCCCAAGGCCAAAGCATCAGGATTAGGGTTAATTCTCTTGAACTTTTCCATTGGAGGCAAGAATGAAAACAAATGCTAAACCTTGCTGGGTCCAAGGGGACCATAAATCAAAGTTCCAGGCTTGGGGCCCAGAGTAGGAAGTTGTGGCATCCTTGTCATGGGAACATGACAAGAGGAGAAGCAGACTGGGAAAGCAGGCTGCAATTAAAATTTCTAGATATTCTATCTTTGAATTTACCACGTGCTTATATACCTTTTCCCATCTTTGATATGTTGGGATATATAGTAGTCCTGTTTTTGACTATGGTCAGACCTTGCTGATGAGAACAGTTATTTCCATAGGCTGCCTTGTCTCCCACCTTAGTAAAAATATTCCCACTTTAAAATTTTGCAACCTTAGCCCAGGGATTCCTTTTGTCTGACTTCAGAGCTGGCTGATTGACAAGAGGTCACATAGAGCCCAGAATATACCTCGGATTCTTTTCTTTGTCGGGGTTGGAGAGATACCTCTGACCTTCCATAGACCAGTATCTCCTTAGTATCTCCAAGGGAAGAAGCCTTCTTCAATAGGATGATTATATAGAGAAAGCAATCTGGAAAACTCCATTTTCCTTCCTTTGGGGAGAAGGAACACGGTGGAACATTGATCAGGAGCTGAGGCTTCTCTAGTCTGACTTAGTACAAGATCCAGGGTAGTCCTGGAAACTCTTACAGAACTAAATTTCACCAATTTTTTTTTTTTGCCAGAGGCTATTTACTGAGGCCAAGAAGGGACCCTGGGTTCACATCTTGCCTCTGCTACCTACTATCCATGTGGCCTGGATTTGGAGACCTGAGTTCAAATCTTGCCACTGCTACTTATTGGTCATGTGACCTTTGGCAAGTCATTTAACCTCTGGCCCTCAGTTGTAAAATGTGACTTAGACTTAATGACCTCTAAGGTCCCATCATCTCTAAATCCTGCGTTTCTATTCAAGATGTCAGTTTGTAAATAAGGTGGGAGACTGGCTTCTGATTACCATTGTCTCTTCCCCTGAGGAAGATGTGACAGCAGAATATAACCTCTGCTGGGAGTACCTGGCAGTGTATCCCTATTCATGAAAATCTCTATTCATTCCATGGGTCTCTCTGGGGACTTCCCAGAGGAAGTGGTTTTGGACAAACCACTTAGAGATGGAGGACAGAGAGCCAGCTACACAGGCTGTGACTTGAAGGTCCCAGTGGAGGTTCCTCAGCAGTCCTCCTTCCTCTCTACCCTCCTTCCTTTTTCTGTTGTGCATTTTTTGGGAAGTAGGGTAATGCATGAAGGCATGTACAGCTGTGTTCCTTTAGGGCCTTCCGTGAAAACTCTAGGCATTCTTTCTCGACAACTAGGGAGGCAAAAATGGTACCATGGAAAGAATGCTAGATTTGGAAGCAGAGGATGTGGGTTCAAATCCTAGCTCTGATATTTATGACTTCTTGACATTGGGCAAGTCTTTCATCCCTTCTGAACCCCAGTTCCTCATATGGAAAATAAGGGAGTTGGGCTAAGTAAACTCCTGTAAGTCCCTTCTGGCTCTAAATCTACGATCCTATGAACCACAAACATCCAGGCTCTAATTAGGCAACTGTTTAGGGTACAATGAAGTATATATTTAAGATAGTATCTTTTAAAAAGTTACATATTTTTCATTCCAAGAGATATTCTATCTCATAACTCTTATTCCCACTTACAAGTGTTGAGGCATTTCCAAGGCACTGTAGATCTAGGCTATGGTGAGCCTTGAGGTTTATTTTGGGAATCCAAGTTCCTATGTTAGCTTCAAACCTGTCTCGCCTTTGGGGGTGTAGAACAGAGAATATCCCATTAATATCCTTCCCAATGTTTATTCAGTTTCTTCTAATCTAGGAGAAGCCTACTATGGAAGCCTCTAGAGGATTGAAAGAGAGCAAAACTACCGTCAGCCACTTTTAATGGAAAATGATAAATGTAAATTTGTTTTAAAAATATTTAATGTTACATGGTCATGGACGTCTAATGAACCTAAACCATCTTTTTTTTTTAAAGCTCCCAGTTATCAACCAGGGTTAAGTTGGATTCTCAAAATGTGGGAAAGCCAACAGGTTGAACTCCAAAAGCAGTGGATAATCAGTGGAGGGGGCAGCTAGGTGGTGCAGTGGATAGAGTTCTGGGCCTCGAAACAGACTCATTTTCCTGAGTTCAAATCTGCCTGAGACACTTACTAGCTGTGTGACCCTAGGCAAGTCACTTCACCCTGTTTGCCTCAGTTTCCTCATCTGTAAAATGAGCTGAAGAAGGAAATGGCAAACCGCTCCATTATCTCGGCCAAGAAATCCCCGAATGTGGTCACAGAGTCAGACCCAACTGAACAACAAATCAATGGAAGAGGACCCCTCTCTGGTAGGAAGTAGAGCTGAGTCAATTCTGTTCTCTTCCCCCAACCCATCTATTCCTGAGCAGTGAATGAATGCAACACACAGCCTTGCAAGAACGGTGGCACCTGCTTTGACCAGGAAGAAGGCTACATCTGCAAGTGTCCTTTCCCGTTCATGGGAAGGTCTTGCCAGTCCCGTAAGTGCTTGACTGGCATTGATCTCTTTTGTCCCAGTTATTTTTCCTGTCCTACAGCCTCAAACCCTTCTTTATCCTGAAGGAAAAATTAGGTGGGCATCAGTGAGTCTGGGGCCTAGAAAAGAGTCTGAATTCAGCTAGAATAGGAGTGTGGGGGTTGGGTGATGGTGAATAAACTGAGTTAAAATTATAAGTATCTTCTTTTTCTCGATGTTTTCTCCTCTTTTTGTCCTTCACAGCCCCCTCCCATTATTTTCCTAATATTTTGCTTCCCTCTTGGAATGCCTTCTCCTTAGCTCTCCTGACCAGGAAGTCACTGTCACTGTCTTTCACCTCAAATTTATACTACCTCCTCGAGGCCTCAGGGAGGCCACATCTAATTAGTTCCACCCAACACTGATTGGTTAGGCCCATTTATTTGGTGTCCTGTTCCTACTTATAAATTAACTTGCACTATTTTATATGTTTTTATTTTGTTTTACATATATGTATGTGTGTATGTGTATCATCTCCCTTGATTTTACTATATATTCTTTGAGAGTAGGGCAGGGAAAATGTTTCATGTTCCTGGTATGTTGTCCCATTCAGCTCCTTAGTGTTGACTTTGTTTTTTCTCACCCCAGCTTGCAACATGCCACTGGGCATGGAGGGAGGTGCCATTGCTGATTTCCAGATTTCAGCCTCATCTGTACATTACAGCTTTCTGGGGATGCAGCGTTGGGGGCCAGAGTTGGCCCGGCTCAACGCTAAAGGGATTGTCAATGCCTGGACTGCCAGCAACTATGACAAGAACCCCTGGATACAGGTGCTGGGGAACACCAGGGGCTCCTGGGTAGTCATTAGCTGTGAATGGGGTCCCAATGCCAGGGTTGAGGGAAAGGAACTTGGAGGTAACATTCGTGAGTCAACATAATAAAAGTGGAAGTCGAGTTTTTTTTTTCTTTTTTTGGTCAATCCTCCCTGCACATTTAGGGGACTGTTAATAGATGTTTCTTGCCTTGGGAGGCTAGACCAGGAGTTACCTACTTTCTGTAAGTTAAGGAAAGTGTCTGCATAATAAATTTAAGAAACATTTATTAAGCATCTAATGTGTATCAGGCACTGGGCTTAGAGCTGGTGATACACGGATGAAAAAGGATCCAGCACAAGCTTTCAAGGATTTTGTAATCTAATTTGGTGGAGGGGCAAGAGTTGGAATAAGATATATTTACAAAGAATTTCAAGAGTAGGCAGAATATAGGTAAAAGGGAGATCTAAAATGTGCTTTTAGAAATAGGAGGAAGAAGAGATTTTAGGGGTGTGTGTGGTGGAACCAGAGAGGACTTCACAGAGGAAGTGACACCTGAGTTTGGCCTTAAAAAAAGGAAGGAGTTTTAGTAGAATAGGAGAGTCCATTCCAGGTCTAGAACATTAAGAACAAAGGTGTTAATATGAGAGAATGCTGGACAACAAGGCGGATGGCGAATAGTTCAATTTTACTAGAATGTAGAATATATGAAAGGCAATAATGTGAAATAAGGCAGAAAATGTAGGTTGAGGCCAAATTGTGGAGGGCTTTGAATGTCAGGATTGGAGCAGTAGTGGTGGGAGCAAAAGGAAGGAGGAGATGTTACAGCAGCTATGTAACTAGGATTTGGGAACTGATTGGATGTGGGGGACGAGGGAGAGCAAGGAGTCTGATGTTTTTGAACTTGAGTTCTGGGGCAATGGTAGTGCAGTCAACAGAAATGAAGACGTTAAGAGGAGCAACAGGTTTTCAAGGTGGTGGAAGAGAGGGAAAAAATGATTAGTCCAATTTTGAGCTTGTTGAATTTGCTGTGTCGATATAACCATGTTATGTCGACACAGCAAATTCAACAATAGCTAATGTGATGCTAAAGGTCTGGTGAGAGATCAGGGCTGGAAATATGACCAATTTACAGAGGTGGTAACTGAGCTCAAAGCAGTGGATTAGGATATTGAATAGAGTATTGAAAAGAGAACCAAAGACAGAACTTTGGGAGACATTCATGTTTGAGAAATGGGTTGAAGATGAAGACCTAGTAAAGAAGACAAGAAAGGAATTAGACATGTAGGAATTCAGCCATGACAATGCAGTATCATGGAATCCAAGAAAGGAAGGCATGTCAAGGAGGGGTCAAAAACAATGTGAAATACTATAATGAGGTAAAAGAGGAAGAAGACTTAAAGATCATTGACATTGGGGATAAGAAGGTGACTAGTGACTTTGGAATACTTTCTGTACAGCGTACAGTACAGAGTACTTTCTGTACAATGTTAGGATGTTGCCGGATCAGAAGAGATCAAGGAATGGGTGGATCATGAGGAAGTGGCTGCTAAGGTGAACTAGTTTTTCTTGAAGATCTGTAGTGAAAGGGAGGAGAATCATAGGATTATGGCTTAAGAGAGCAGCAGGGCCAAGGAAGAGAGTGTTTTGTTTTGTCTTTTTTAGGCTGAGTATGTATGTAGACTATATGGGAAGAAGTCAGTGGAGAGGAAGAAATTAAAGATGCATGTAATAGGAGCAACTGATAAAACCATATTGTCAAAATTACTGGAAGGACTAGGATCAAGAATAAATCATTTTGACTATTATAAATACCCAAATTAACTACAAAGGGCATAGAAAGGAACACACTATCTGCATCCAGAGAAAGAACTGATAAATAGAAATATGTATAGAATGATTTTACATACATGCACACATATACGCACATATTTATGTCTAGTGTAAGCCATCTCTAGGGGGGGGGGGGGGGGAGGAAGAAAAAAGAGGGAAAAAACAAATTTACATAATAACATTATTATGTATTTAAAAGGAATAGCAAGTTGTACATTATAGATTTGCAATCGTCTTTATTATATAATGTTATGGAAATGCTTGTTTTATTCCATAAATTAAAAATAAAATAAATAAAAAATTTTAAAAAGGATACAAAAAGAAAGCTACCTCTTCCTGAAATTAGAGGGAAGGAAAAGAGGTTGTATGAGATACAGAGAGATGTTGGGGGTTAGCATTGTATTTGATTCACCAAACATTAAAGTACCTACTGTGTTCAAGACATTATTCTATGCTCTAATGATACAAAGACAAAAATGAAACAGTGCTTTCTTCCAAGTATCTCATGCTACTGGGGACTGTTTTACAGATGAGTAAATATAAGATATTTTGAAGAGGGAGAGCACTAGCTTGGGAAAACAGAGGAATCTTCATGGTAGAGATGGTTGAGGAAGAGAAGAATTCTGAGAGGAAGAGATGCTGATGGGGTATTTTCTAGGCCGTAGGGACAGAATATGCAAAATGCACAGAGGTGAAAGATGGAATGTTAACTTTGGGGAAACGGCTAGCAATTCAGTATGCTTGGAACATAGCATGTGTGCAAGAGTGTTAAATGAAATAATCTTGGAAAGTAAGTGGGAGCAAAATTGTGGAGGACCCTAAAAACTGTGTTTATCTTTTACCCTAGAGGCAATAGGGACTCTCAGAAGGCTTTTTGGGTTGGGAAGTGACATGATTAGACCCATTGTAGCTTTGGAAGATTATGGCCTTAATATTCTCAGTTAAGTAGCAGACAATGCCATTTGCTCAGAATAAAGGGTGATGGTGGTGGATCTGGGGGCTGGAGGGCTAAGATTAAGATTTGGAACACCATCATGGACAGTGTGAGAGTCACTAAAAGATTTCTAAAAGGATTGTGGTGTATCAGTTAGAGCCTGATTGAGGCAAGATAGCAAATATTTTCATGATTTCTCCTGTTGTTGTTTAGGAGTAAGATAAAAGAGGTAGATTCTAGGAATGACTCAGTGTTTAGGGTTAGCAGAGTGGAAATGGTGGGGAATTCAAGTGTGGAGGAGAATGTATGATTGACCTGGCTGATAGTAAGGGAGGGAAATGAGGCCAAAAAGGGCTTGATGAATTGGGGCAATAAATCAGAACCCTGGATTCTAATGCAATTGATGATTCACTTCAACACATAAAATTCAACAAACTGGCTACCCACTTTGTGTAGAGAACTGTTCTTGGTGCTGGGAGAGATAAAGTTCAGAAGGTACAACTGCTGCCTTTGTAAATCTCATAGTCTGGTTGAGCTTTTGAAAGCTGTCTTTATATATAACTACAAGAAAAACTAATACAAAAGTAGATTTGAGAGGGGCAGAAAAGTGCCCCTGTATGATACTTGGATCCGGTGGATGAAGAAAGATCCTGATAGACTTGGACCAGGGGATAGAACACTGGGCTTGAAATCAGGAAGACTCATCTTCATGAGTTTAAGTCCAGCCTCAAACACTTTCTAGCTGTGTGACCCTGGGCAAGTCACTTTACTCTGTTTGCCTCAGTTTCCTCATCTATAAAATGAGCTGGAGAAGGAAATGGCAAACCATTCTAGTATCTTTGCGAATAAAATCCCAAATGGGATCACAAAGAGTTAGACATGACTAAATAACAACAGCAGCAATGTTCCATGTGGATAGTAATGAAAGCCTGTAGTAGGGTGGTGGTAATAGGAATAGAGGAAAGGACAGGTGTAAGAGATATTTTAAAGGTAGACTCACCAGGACTTGGTAACCAATTGGATATGGGAAGTCTAGGACACAGGAGAATCAAATCTAACACTAAAATTACATTAGTAGGAGATGGATTAATGGCTGTGCCACCAGCAGAAATAATAAAGTCAGAAGAAGGAGCAGGTTAGGGGGAAAAAATAATAAGCCTTGCTTTAGACTTGTTGAGCTTCGGACTTTGTTTGGGCATTTAGGGGGAGATACACAGGAGCAATTAGAATGGTGGGTCTGGTACTTACAAGAAAAGTCAAGGGCTGAAGATAGAGAAGTCGGGTATATAAATATGATATCTAAAGCCAGAAGAGTGAATGAGATTGTCAAGAGAGACAAGAGGGCCAGAGACTGTATCTTGGAGAATTTCCTATTTTCAGTGGTCAGGAACAGGAGCTATCAAATGAGAGGAAGTAATTGGAGAAGTATAGGAAGGACCAGGAAAGTGTAGCTCTGGGGTCTGAAACTAGATTGAAGAAATAAAGGAGAGAGTAGGTGCTGAGGGAGTTTCAGGCTCTATAAGTAGAGAGTTTTTTTTTTTAAGTTTAGAAGCAAAGGGAAGTAGGGTTACCCACTACACGAAGTGGGTAACCAGTTTGTTGAATTTTATGAGTTGAAGTGAATCATCAATTGCATTAGAATCCAGGGTTCTGATTTATTGCGCCAATTCATCAAGCCCTTTTTGGCCTCATTTCCCTCCCTTACTATCAGCCAGGTCAATCATACATTCTCCTCCACACTTGAATTCCCTGCCATTTCCACTCTGCTAACCCTAAACACTGAGTCATTCCTAGAATCTACCTCTTTTATCTTACTCCTAAACAACAACAGGAGAAATCATGAAAATATTTGCTATCTTGCCTCAATCAGGCTCTAACTGATACATCACAGTCCTTTTAGAAATCTTTTAGTGACTCTCACACTGTCCATCATGGTGTTCCAAATCTTAATCTTAGCCCTCCAGCCCCCAGATCCACCACCATCACCCTTTATTTAGAAGCCACATCTTATACCATTTCCCCCCACATATCCTATAACCCAGTCAAAATCAACTATTCTCTGTTCTCCTGGATACAGCTTTCTCATTCCCTTCCCATTTCTCATTCTGGATAAGATGAAGGGTTAAGGGAAGACTCTTTTAGGCATGGGGATACCTGAAAATGTTTGTAGGCAGATGCCTAAGAGCCAGTGGAGAGACAGAGATTGACATATGTAGAACCTGTATTAGATTGCTTGCTGTTTTGGGGAGGGAGAAAAATTTGAAACTCAGAATCTTATAAAACAGAATGTTGAAAGCTATCTTTACATGTAATTGGAAAAAAATAAAATACTATTTACAAAAAAAAGAAAGAAAACGCGTGAGAGAGAAGGAACAATCACTGAAGTAAGGATCTTAGAGAAGGTGTAGGGGTATAAGATCAAGGCCATAGTAGACAGGAGGAAAAGAAGAGAGAATGGGTAATGATGCTGAGAAGATTTGAGAGGGCTCTCATCTCAATGTCCTCATTGAAATAGGAAGGTAAGTTATCTGCACGTGGAATACAATTTGGGGGTTGAGGATAGAGGGAAAGATTTGGAAAAACTGCTGTGGAGATTGAGCTAGGGAGGCAATTAGAGTCCCATAGGGAGGGCCCCATTGAGGTTATACCATAAATCTGTAGTGGGTAAAACCAGTTCACTATCATGATCTTTTCCCTAGCAACCCTCAGTGTTCTGGAAATAGGAGCAGAGAATTTACACAATGGAGGTTATCCAGGGTTGAGTTTGAGAGTGACAGGTTGGGGGTAGGGTGTGGGGGTGGTGGTGAGGCATTCCAGGGAAGTGGTTAGTGAATCATCAAAATGATAGGCCACTGGAATAAGGCTGAATATGGAGGCATGTAAAGCCACAGTTTGGGAGAGATTAAGAAAAAGGGATGAGTCGGGACCAGTGGTCAAGGTGAGGGTAAAAAGCAAGTTTATTGTGAGTTAATGGGAATGGAGGGATAGGAGACTATGTTTGGGGTGAGGAGAGGGATTTAAGAGTTCATACTCTCGAATTTGTACCAGTATCAAGTGATACTGAGCTCTCAGGTGTGAGCCACCATTGTGAACATCCAAGTTAGAGCATAGATGGAGCTTGGGAGTCCAAGGAACTATGAGTTCTAATGTTAGAATGATCAGCAATGTGAGTGTTAAAGTCTAAGACGATGATAAGAGAGGAATGGGGTGTAGACTTTAAGCTATGTACTGAATTCACTGAAGGATATGTGTCCCAGAGGTCTATAGAGGTAGTCAGGATGAAGTTTGAGGTTCACAAATGTAAAGCATTTGGGGACAAATGTCCAGTGGCCTGGGAAGGGGTCTGGAGGGAACAGGCTTTAGAGAATAAACTTTACATAGAGAGCCTGATAAAATCTTGCAAACTGAGATTTCTATGAGGTGGGGTTGGGCAGAGGGTGGGGAAAGTAGAGCTAGGAGACCAATATCTGAGGGGTCCGTCTCTGCTGGGGTACTTAGCCTGATTTGTATGTATTTGCTAATGGAAGAGCTTGGTTGTATTATTGCCTAGCTTAGTTGGGATCCCATTGCAGCAGGGGATAGCTTGAGATAGTATGACAGGAAATAGGGTCTTGGGCAAGAAGGACCTTCACTGAAAACTCCCCTGAAACTCAGGATTCCCTGCTCTTCCTCAGGTGAACCTTTTGCGTAAGATGAGAATAACAGGCATCATGACACAGGGTGCCAGCCGGACAGGCAGTTCTGAATATCTGCGGACCTTCAAAGTGGGATATAGCAATGATGGGAACATTTTTGAATACATCAAAGAACCAAACCAATTCAGGGACCAGGTAAGACACAGACTGGTGCTGGAAAGAGAGATGGGGAGGAAGAAGGACATGTTAGATTAAGGGGTGGTGATCATTGGCTGTGGGAGCAGCACACCGGACTATCACAATGAAGGTGATGGTTTTGAGGACCACATTGAGGCATAAGCAGCTCCTGAAGGAGGAGGATGATACAAGGTAAACAGGTATCTAAGGTGCCAGTCAGTAGTGGGAGTATGGGGTTCAAATGTTTTTTAGGGTACATCTTTAAGATGGTCCCTATTCTATTCCCCCAGAAACTACTTTGAAAATGTTTTCAATGTACATGTTATTTCCTTAAGCTTTTTGAGGACAGGGACTCTTTAACTTTTGTAATGATATCCTCAGCACTTAGAACAGTGCCTGGCACATAGACATGATTACCAAATAGCATTTGGAAAGGCTCAGAAATGGCCATGGTCGACTCTGAAATGTATATTTGAGCTCTGCTTGCAAGCTGGGAATGAGCATCTAAAGTGTCAGAACTGTTGGAATGATTGAGGGTTGTGTGTGTGTGTGTGTGTGTGTGTGTGTGGTATGTGTGAAAATGTCTATAGAGATAGAGAAACTGCTTGGGAGTTCCAGAAAAGTGCAAAGAGCATGAGGATGAATGAGTATCAGGAATGTTGTGGGATCTGGACCTTAGGCATGATTCACAACCAACTAGCTCCATGAAGTTTCTCTCTTAGCAACAGTCCTATACTTCTTGCCCTACTCATTTCATTCCCATCATGCCAGGTCTTTGTGGGGAACATAGACAACAGTGGCCTGAAGACCAACATTTTTGATCCACCTTTGGTGGCCCAGTTTGTGCGGATCACGCCTGTTGTCTGCCGTAGAGCCTGTACCCTCCGGTTTGAGCTTTTTGGTTGTGAAGTGGAAGGTGAGTCACTGGGGGTGGGGAGGTGGGAAGTGGGAATTGGGAAAGCAAAATATGTTAGGCTACTTCCTTTCCCCCCTAGTTAAGTAGTGTTAAAAGAATTAAAGGGAGACCTCTAGCCTACTGGGTAGATCTTCCATGGGGGGTTTATAGAAAGACGTGAACAAGAAATGCACTGGAAAAGAAAGCATGGACGATTGCTATTTGCATGGAGGAAGTACTGTGAGAGAGCTGATCCATTGACATACTGATTTCTAAGTAGAATTAGTCTGAGGCAAGCAGAGAGACTTTGGATGACAGGCATGGGCATGGTGGTCCCAGACTCTGAGGACTACCAGTAGGATAGGCAGCTGGTGACACTGTGCACTGTTATCCAGAGTCAGGAAGACCTGAGTTCAAATGTGACCTCAGTGATCCTGGGCGAGTCACTTAACTTCTGTCTGCCTCAGTTTCCATATCTGTAAAAATGGGGATGATAATAGCACCTACCTGCCAGGGTTGTTAGGAGAATTAAATGAAATAAGATTTGTAAAGTACTTTGCAAATCTCAAAGTGCTATATAACCACAAGCTTTTATTGTTATTATGCCTGTGGGCATCTAGGTGGTGCAGTGGATAGAGTGCTGGGCCAGGAGTCAGGAAGACTCATCTTTCTGAGTTCAAATCTGGCCTCAGACACTTACTGTCTGGACAAATAACTTACCACTATTTGCCTCAGTTTCCTCAAATGGGGTCCCAGAGAATAGGACGCAGCTGAAACAAATGAACAACAGCATTGTACGTGTGGAGTCATAGTAAGGCCTAGAGACCCTTGCTCTAAGGGTCAGGGGTATGACCTAATCCAAGGAGTTGACAGCCTACTTGATGGAATTTTAGAGCATGAGGCCAGGAATCCTGAATTGCTTTAGTTCAATTTTTTTTTCCTCTTCATGGAAACAAACAGAGAGCTAACTTGCAAGTGGAAATCTAGAATGCCTCCTCTAAGGACTAGTGAAGATGCAGCACCTTGAACGTACCTTTGTCTTCTTTTTTCCTCATATCTCTGTTCTGGCTCTCTATGATTCCATCTTCTTACGGGATTCATCTGCTTACAACAATGTGGAACGTGACATGGTTGCTCTATCCGTCCCCTTCTACCTCTTTCCTGGAAAGGTGGGTGTAGGTCTTTAAGGGTGTGAGGTGTGCAATTCATTTTGTTTTGATGTATTTATAGTGGAGCAAACAAATATTCTGGAGGGGATCACAGAATTTTAGAGCTGGAAAGGACTTTTTAGGTCATGCAGTCCAGTGGTCCTCAAACTTTTTGGTCCCAGGACCTTTTCACAACTTTTAAAAATTATTAAATATCTCAAAGAGCTTATATCTTTTGATATTGACTATGCTGAAAATTAAAATGGATAAAATTTTAATATTTTTCCAATTACATGTAAAAAACAATTTTTAACATTCATTTTTTAAAATTGTGAGTTCCAAATTCTCTCCCTTCCTCCCTTTCTTTCATCCTCCCTGAGAAGGCAAGCAAGTTGATATAGGTTATACACATGCAATCTGATAAAATTTTAAAATACTTATTGTTAATTCATGAAAATGACAATAATAAATCCATTACATGTTAGTAAAAAACATATTTTTATGAAAAACAACGATTTTCCAGAACAAAAAAAATAGAAGAATGGCATTGTTTACATATTTTTATAAATAATCTTTAATGTATGGCTATTTAATAGAAGACAAGTGGATTCTCATATTTGTTCCTGCATTCAATCTGTTGCAATATGTTGTTTTGGTTGAAGTATATGGAGAAAATGTGGCCTTACACAGATGTGTAATTGGAAAAAAGGTTTTAATAGACAAATAATGTTTTAGTATTATTATGAAAATAGTTTTGATCTTGAAGACCTTCTGAAAGGGTCCTGGGTTCACAGACCACACTTGGTGAAACCATGGTGTAGTCCAATCCAGTCATTTTACAAATTAAGAAAATTAATATTCAGAGAGGGTAAGTGACTTACCTAGTGAATCTGTAGCATAGCAGGGAGGATAGTCTAGGGTTCTTTCTGCTATGACACTGCCTTTTAAAGAGTTCGAGAGACATCGTGGAAACCTTGGAGTGATAAGAAGTAGAAGGATCATAGGAAAACTTTGAAGATCGTTTTGTCTAGCCCCATTGGTTTTGCATGTGAGGAACTGAGAAGTTAAGTGATTTGCTTGAGGTTGCCAGAACCATGTTCCCTGATTCCAAATGTGCCTTCTTTCTAGAGACGAGGCTGGCTTCTGCTCTTGTCCTCAGAGAAAGTATTGAACCCTTCAGAAGGTGATGTCCTCCCAAATCCGAAGGGGACAGGTGTCAGAATAGAATAAATATTGAGGATGTTTATTTATTTGCCTTCCCTAAGTGCTGGGTTGGAAGAAGGCAACACTAGCTGGAAAGAGTGATGGCCTAGGGGTGGTGCCTAGGTGCTGAGCATTGCCGTAGAGGTGACAATGAGCTCCCTCCATCCTCACTCAGAAGCCTGGTTTTCTTTCTTGAGTTTGTCCTGTGCTTGAAGAAACCATTTCCTCCCTCAGGGGCCACACTGACACCTCATGGCCACAAGGAGAACTGCAGTCTGTTCCCTGATCTGTTGGGAAGCCTTTGACTAACACTAGGCTTCTTCCTACACTGTGAAGTCACGATTGCTCTCATATTCTTCTGCTTCTTCTTGTGCCTCCTTGGCTGTGATGTATTTTTTTTAATTTTTAATTAATTTACTCTGAATTATCAACAATCACTTCTATAAGCTTTTGAGTTTTAAATTTGTCTTTCTCTTCTTCCCCACCACCCTCCCCACGACAGCGCACAATCTGATATAGGCTATCCATATACATTCCTATTAAACATATTTTCACATTAGTGATGTTGTAAGTAAGAATTAGAATCAATAGGAGGAACCACCAAAAAGAGGAAACAAAACACAGCAGAAGAAAAAAATTAGCAAATAGTATGCTTTGATCTGCATTCAAATTCCATAGTTCTTTCTTTGGATGTGGATAGTGTTTTCCATGTGATGTATTTTCTTGATTCTGTCTCCCACTCTCTATTCTCCTTTCCCTTTTCAGTCCTCTACTACTTATTCTTGGGTTTGAATCCTGTGTCCAGTGATTTCTAGCTGTTTGATTTAAACTTTATGAACCTCAGTTTCTTTAATTTTTAAATGAGGATAATTGAGTTCAGTTCAATAAATATCATTAAGTGCCTACTATGTGCCAGGCACTGCGCTGAGGACTAGGAAAGAAATAGACAAACTGGAGCTCATCGAGAAGATGGCAGCCAGGAGGAGAGACAATGCCAAGAACAGATCACTCGGAGAAACTGGAAATGTTGTCTAGCATAGGGAAGAATTAAGTGAAACATGATGCAGCAGTCTTTGGGGAGCTGAAGGGCTAACGAGGAATTGATCTTATTCTGCTTGGTCCCAATGAGTTGAACTACGGGGAGTGGGCAGAAGTTAGAATTAGGTGGAAAGAAAGTAGAGTTATACAAAAGTGGAACAGACTACCACGGGAGACCATGAGTTACCCATTACTGGAGGTCTTTAAGAAGAATCTGAATGGGCTCTTGCTGAGAATGTCCTATTTTTGGTCAGGTACAGATCGCTTCTCCTTCTGATATTCTTTGATTCTGAGTCTGGACTTTATTCTCTAGGTAATAGGGAGTCGTTACTGATTTTTTTTCCCTTTAAGCAGGAAAGTAATATGATCAGAGTGATATTTTAGAAAGGTCATTCTAGTGATTGTGCCTGGAACATGGTAGGCAATTAACAAATATTTGTAGGATGAATGAACGGTAGTCAGGATGGACTAAAGCAGCGGCTCCCAAACTTTTTGGTTTCAGGATCCCTTTACACTTTTAAAGATTATTGAGGATCTCCCTCCCCAAAGAGTTTCTGATTATGTGGGTTATATCTATCAATAGTTACCATATTATAAGCTGAAATATTTTAGTATTATTATAAAAATAGTTATAACCTTATGGATCCCCTGAAGGGGTTTTGGTGACCACCGGGGGTCTCGAGGTCACTAGAGGAAGTGAGACTGGTTAGGGGCTACTGCAGTTGTCTGGTATAAGATCTAGTCTAGATCTAGTGAGGTAGCAGAAAGAATGGAACAGATATGATGACCTGAAAGAGATCATGAAGGAAATAGCAGAATTTGGTGTGAGATATGGGAGTGAGGGCAGTTCATGAGTCAAAGAGGCCTTTGAGGTGTTTGGCTTAGATAATAGGCTGAGAAAGAGACTTTTTGGGGAAGGTATTGAGCTTTAGTTTAGAAATGCCCAATAAACACTTGAGGATGTGGGTCTGGAACTTTGAAAGGTTGGAGTTGGAGGTACAGATTTGGGAATCATTATCAGGGAATCATTGTAGAAATCTTTGAAGAAGATAATGTGTCAAGGGGAGAAGAGGACCGTCCCCTGTGCGGATGCCTACACTTAGCCAGTGGAGGAACAGCAAGGAATTAGTGAAGGAGAGAGCAGTCAGAGAGGTGGAAGGCAAACCCGTTTCCTATATAGTGCCAGGTCACAGAAGCCGAGGGAAGAGTTTCAAGAAGGTGGTGGTCAGCACTGTCAGATGCTGCACAGGTCAGGGAGGATGAGAAGTGAGAAAAGGCTGCTGGACTTGGTGATTAGGAAATCACTTGGTGGCTTTGCCAAGAGCTTTTTGTGTACAGTGGTGGACATAGAGAAGGTTGGGAAGGAACCACATGTAGGCGTTTGGGTGAATGGGAAACCACTAGTTTGGTTGAGAAAATGAGGGCACTATGATGGTACTGCTGCTGCTCCTAACTGCTCACTTCCCATTCCTGGAGTGGGGTTGCTACTGGTCTTCTTTCCACTTTAGCTATACTTCCTTAGCTCTCTCTGTGCCTGCTGTTGGGTTCGTAACCATTACACCATATATTCAACTTCGCAGGTTGTTCTGAACCTCTGGGTATGAAGTCTGAGATCATCCCTGACAGTAGGATCACTGCTTCTAGCACCTTCAAGACGTTTGGCCTAGATGCTTTCAGCTGGCATCCCTATTTTGCTCGATTGGACAAACAAGGCAAATTCAATGCCTGGACCGCTCAGAGCAAGGAGGACACTGAGTGGCTGCAGGTATGTAGCGATCTTCCCTTGACTTTCTGAGTCCCCTCATTGGACCTATCTGGAGATGATTTAAAACCTTCACTATTTTCCTCAAGGAATCGACTCCCCGCTGGCTCTGTTGACTTTACTCCAAAATTGCTCCTGACTTTCAGAGTGGGGGGCATTTCAGAAAAAACAAAACAAAACACAACACAACTACTTTTGGTTTGCCCTTTGCCACCCCTTTTCTCCTGTCTTTCCTTGCTTTTCCTTTCTTTCCCTCCCTCGTCCCCAGGAAACTGAACCTCCCTTGATACTATAGCCCTGGAGGAAGAAGGACTCCAGGCCTTTACCTTCCAGTATCTCCAGGATACTTCTTCTTTCTCCTGAAGGAGAGGTAGAGCCCTGCTTCCTGGTTGCTGCCAGTGTCTCCTCCATTAGATTGTAAGCTCTTTGGGGGCAGGGACTGTCTTTTGCCCCCTTTCGTATCCTTAGAACAGTGCCTGCCACGTAGTGAATGCTTAATAAATGTTTATTGATTGATGAATCAATTATTTCTAGGGTTGATTAGGTCCTATTGTTTCTGTGGCTGAGTTGAGCTAGGATAGAGGAGGAATAGCGGGGCAGGTTGGAAGGTTTTGCTGTGCCTGACGTCATCCCCCTTTAGCAAACTCCTATTAGGTTTCCTCACCTGAGGGAAGAGAGAGAGACTTATATGAGGACAGCCTGTTCTACTTGGGGTTGGACGTCAAGATTAGGCACAATGGGTGGAAGTTAAAGAAAACAGTTTGACTCAATAGAAGAAAGAACAAAGACCTATCTAATAATTCTCTTGAATTCTCTCCCTCTTCAGCCTCCTCCAATGATTACTCTGCTAGGTTCCCACAGGGAGCCTCCCGAAGCCGTTCTAGGTTTCCTCAGCCCAGGAAGCTGCCGTACCTTGCCACATAGAGGGGACCCTTTGCAATGGCTGTCTCATACAGGGCTTCTTCCTATGACAGCCACTTGATCTTAGGATCATAGGAGTTAGAACTAAAAAAAAAACCAAATAAACCCCAAACCCTTAAATCATTTAATTCAACCTACCTGTTTAACAGAGGAGTGAAGTAATTTGCTCATTTGTAACATAGGTAGTGAGTGGCAGAGCAGAATTTGAACTCAGGACCCCAGATCCCAAATCCATTGTTTTTCCACTTGTGCTAGCAGAAAGATATGTTTGATTTTTTTTTTCCTACAGATTGACTTGGGTATCCTGAAGCGGGTGACAGGCATCATCACTCAGGGGGCCCGGGACTTTGGTAATATCCAGTATGTATCAGCATACAAAGTGGCGTATAGTAACGATACCAAATCGTGGACTGTATATAAGGACAGCAGAACGAACAGTAGCAAGGTGTGTCTTCTGGGGTCTGTGGGTTAGGAGAAAGAGGGTCAGAAAAACCCTGCTCCCAGGCACTTTCTGTAGGTCACTCCCAGTGACCTAGAAAAACTAGAGGAGATGGAGAGGAATGGATAGAGTCCCTAGATTTGAGTTACTTGGCATGTGGGAGGTGGTGGTTGTGGGATATGTGACGCAGAATAGTGATTGTTCCCTGGAGTTTGACAGCTAAAGGGAAGAGGAGTGTGTGTGTGTGTGTGTGTGTGTGTGTGTGTGTGTGTCTGTGTCTGTGTCTCCGGGGTGGGGTAGGGACTCCTATGGGATGAACTCAGGCTGCTGACTCTGGGGAGAGGGAGGAAGGATGAGTTCCTGGGCTTCTCCATGCTATTCATCAACTATTTTTTTCCTTCTGCAGATCTTTTTAGGAAACTCAGACAACAATTCCCACCAGAAGAACATATTTGAGACCCCTTTCTACTCCCGGTTTGTCCGGATCCTGCCCGTTGCCTGGCATGGGCGTATCACCTTGAGGGTGGAGCTGCTGGGCTGTAAGGAGTAGAGCCTCTCCACTCGTGGAAGAGACTGGACAGGGCCTGAAGTGGGTGTGAGGTCCAAGGTCAAACTTGCTTTCTTCCCCTAACCCTGCCTCCAGCCTCTGTGCCTCACTTGCCTCTGCCTGCATGTCCCATGCCTCAATCCCTGGGGACAGGATGAGCAGTGGAGGTTCACCGCCTGATTGTAGTTGAAACTTGGGGTGGGGTGGGGTGGGTTGGAGGGGCTTCAGGGCCCCCTGTTTTTCTCTGTAGGGGACAGGCTTCGCCTAGGGTGACCCTCACCCTCACGCTTACGCTGCTGTGGCCCCCACAGCTGTTGCACACTGGGGACCTGGGTCCATAACCCCTACATTGGGAATTATTCCAGATTTAGTTAGTTTCAATCATTTTCCAAAATCTTAAGAGTTCTGCATAGAGTAGTATGATTGGTATGCAAGAAGTCTGTGTTTATATGTGTGGGAATGGGTAACATGTATAAGTAGGGTTTGTGTGTTATGAATTGCAGTGGAGAGTGGGTGAGTGTGTGTTGTGTGTGTGTGTGTGTGTGTTGTACTCACTTTCTTTCCCCATCTACCTTTCCCCTTCCCCTCTAAGGCTTGTTTTTAGAGCCAGAAATATAGGGAGAGGTGATGGTAGAAAGGCCTACTCTTCTCTTCAAGGTCTCACTACCCTCTCTGCCTTTGCTTCCTCCAGCTGTCTAAGGAAAAAAAAAAAAAAGGATCTGCAGTGACTTTCTGTACCGATAACCCCTAGCAGGGGTCCTCTCCCCTACCTGTCAGTTGTACATTCTGAGGCAGGAGTGACAGGAGGGGGAGGGGATCTTCCAGCAGGCTGACACTTGCCTCCATCCCTTTATCTCCTGCAGACTCTCCTGTTTCCTTTCAGTCCTCTCCTTTGATACCCAGAAGAAGGGGATATTAATTAAAAAAAAGTCCTAAGAAGGGGATGGGGATGGGAGTTATAGGGTTCAGGAAAAGGGTCTGAGAAATATCACTTGGAGCCAAAGGATTAGTCTATTACCCTAAAAAAACTGACCGAGAGGGCTCAGATGGTTGCAAGGGCTCTGATGCCTTCTCCTTACCCTTGTGATTGTAACACAGGGTGGGTAATTTCTAAAATATATTTATACTTAACAACTCATTCATTTCCTGGTGCTGTGTCTCATTGGAAGTTCATAACCAGAAGCGTTTCATTGGGTCTCCCCAGTCTGCTGTGTTCTGTAGGAGGGAGGGAGGAGTCAGCTCCCCCGTGGTCCCAGTAACCAGTTGCTTGCCCACATCCTACTGGTTTCTGCCATTTTTGTTTTTGTTTCTATGTGCTTTGCTCTTATACTCCCGAGCTGAGAGTCTCTCTGGAGGTACCCTTCCCTGCCCCCCACCAACACTCATCTACTTATCTTGTGCCAAGCACTGTGGGCACTAGACACACAAAGGCAAAAGCCATAACTGGTCCTTGGCTTCATCTGATTATATTCTACTGGATGGGGGAGGCGGGACAGAGCAATCAGGAAGATATAGCATATGAATTGCCTGGAAGAGAGCAAGGTATTCTAAGAGGCCATGTAGAGGATAGAATGCTAGATTTGGAAGACATTTATTAGCTGTGTGACCCTGGGCAAGTCACTTAACTTGTGTCTGCCTCAGTTTCCTCATTTTTAAAAATGGAGAGAATAATAGCACCTACATCCTAGGGCTGTTATGAGGATAAAGTGAGATGGTATTTGTTAAATGCTTTGCAAACCTTAAAGTACTAAAAATGCTACTATTAAAATTTTATTTTTAATTTATGGAATAAAACAAGTATTTCCATAACATAGTACAATAAAAAAAGATGATTGTATATGAAACGCAAATCTGCTATACACAACTTGCTATTCCTTTAAAATATACAACAAAATTATCATGTAAATTTCTTTTTTTCTTTCCTCCCTCCCCCTCCCCCCAGAGATGACTACCATTAGACACATATATATGTATGTATATTTGTGTGAGTGTGTGTGTATATATATATATATATATGTAAGGCACAAGTAAGGAGGAAGTACACTCTAGGTATGGGTAACAGCCTTTGCATTGAAGTGGGATAGGATATGTTGATTTGGGGCAACAGGTGGGGAGGAAGGAGAATCATGTAACTAGTTCCAGATCTTGGCATGTTACCCAGTTTGTCTCCCACTTACTTGCTGGCTGGAGGGGAGCCCAGGACTTTGGCTTGCATGCTAAAGATTTTCTTGGCAAGCTTCCTACCTGTGTCATAACCATCCTCTCACCTGTCCACAACTCCTCCCTTGGTCAGGCAGCAAGTAGATCCCTAGTGGAAAGGAGTACACTTGGGGAGCAGTGCCTTTAGATTTTCCCTGTTGAGGAGAGGGTTAAGGGGCAAAGCTCAGATCTCCTTAATCACTTTTTACCACCTGTCTTCTTTGTTTGCCTTCATTCCAAGCCCGTGGGCTGACTCTAGCTCTTACAATACCTGACCCACCAGATGGTTTTTTTTTTTCTTCCTTCTGAGAACTTCCATTTTTCCTGGGATCTGAAGCCTAGTCAACAAGCTTGGGGCAACAGCAGTTATTAAAAACCTAGAGAAATTGACCCGGCAAGTTTCTCTTGCCCACAGTGTTGCAGAATGCTTCGGGTTAAATAGGAAGAGGGGCAGGGAGTAGTCCATAGTTCTGGTGAGTGAGAATGTCTTCTTCCTCCACTCCATTTTGCCTCTGACTATCACCTTCGAGAAACATGGTGGTAAGAGTTCTGGAGGTGGAAGACCTGGGTTTGAATTAACACCTCTCACAGGTGTTGCATGTGTGACATTGGGTAAATCACTTAACCGACGTGGACTAGAGATGAGTTTGCTCATCTGTAAAATGAAGGGGTTGAACTTGACATCCTCTGAGGTCCCTTCCAGTCCTAGATCGATGATTCACTGTGGAAATAACACTGGCTTTGGAGTCAGGAACCCTAGGCTTGAGTTATGGCCCTAATACTATATAATCTTTTAACCTCAGATTCTTTCCTGGAATCAGGAAGACAGTTCCAATCCAACCTTAGGCACTTACTAGCTGTTTGACCCTGGGCGAGTTGCTTAACTTCATGGTGCCTCAGTGTCCTCAAATGCCAAATGGGGATACTAATACATAGTCTACTTAGATGACGAATCATCATATGAATTTCTTTTATATTATTCTGAGTGATCTTGAGCTATTCAGTGTTTTCTGCTTTCCCGTCATTGCAAAACACCTGGAGGAAACCATTAGTAGATACAGATCCAGCTTTACATCTTAAAGGTGTCTTGCAGGATGAGAGGAGAGCCATATATGTATGTATCTATGTGCATATATATTTGTATATATTTATGCACATATATGTGTATATGTAAAGCAAAAGTGAGGAGGAAGTGGGCATGAAAAACTGGATAAACGGGTTGTCAAAGGATTAATCATATTTTGTGCTGGAGGGGACTTTATGATTCTGCCCTCTCATTTTACATGTGAGGAAACTAAGGCCCAGAGAAGTGAGTCTTCCATAGATATTAAGAAGCAGGGCCAGGATTTGAACCTGGAGCCTTAGACTCAGTGTGCAGCTGATTGGAATCAGAATGAAAATCCCAGGACTACTACTTAGTATCTGTGTGACTTTGGGCAAGTCGCTTGAGGTCTTTGACCTTTGGTGGCCTCATCTGTGAAATGGGAGGAGGGATGAACCGGATGGTTCTAGGGCTCCTCTATTTTAGCCCTAAATCTATGATTCTGTGCCTTCTTTTCATTGGCCACCTCAGTGAGGCTGATGGCTTTGGGAAGCTCTGCCTCACTTAAATCCAATTCACAAAAAAGTCAAGACATCACCCTCGTGATGTCCTTGATCTTCTTTCAGAAGGAAAGAGAACAACAAATAAAGCTGAGCACCTTCAGTCCATGGGTAAACATGGCTCCAGTTGTGGTGGGTGGACCAGCGTTTACAGTGCCCGCCACGTAGAAAGTGCTTAATAAATGCTTGTTGACTGACTGAATCATAGGGCTTATAAAATTCATATAATCATGATATCCAAGGGCATTCTTAATAGAAGAAGGGATCTATAGAGATGACCTTCAGCCTGTCTTGAGGAAACTGGCCCTTTGAAGTTTATCAAGGGAGGGCAGTTTGGACTATGGGACTCTCTTGAAACAGAAACCACCAAGAAAAGCCCTGCAGCTGGAAGGATGGATTTGTATCATTTCATTTCAAGAAGAGGAGGGACCATTCAAGCCATCAAGCGGTTTTTCAAATCGATTCACTGAGTGTTTAATTATTTTCAGCGATTATTATCTTTAGATAATAGGTCATTTTATATAGTGCTTTAAAGAGCCTTACAAAGTGCTTTCCTCACAACTCTGTGAGACAGATGGTACAAATAATATTATCCTCATTTTACAGATATGGATACTGAGACTTGGTGACATTGAGTGACTTGTCCATGGTACTAAATGGCAGGAGGGGTATTTGAACCTCTGGCAGTTTTTCTAACTCCCAGGGCAGCTGTCTTTCCATAAACCATCCAGCCTTGTGGACCTTACAGATCTGAATTCCTCTTTCACCTTAGTTATCACTCCCTCTTGGCTTCTGTCTACACAGCCTGCATAAGCCTCTAGATACAGAGTGAGAGCACTAGTGACCCTGGGAGTCACAATCTCTGTGGACCTAGTTTTCTTATTTGTAAAATGAACCAGTTGGACCAGATAATCACTTCCAGTTTGAAATCCTATTACCTTAATCATTGTATTCCATTTTCTCTGGCCTCTGATAACAGCCTTGCTACTGGTACTTCTCCTTCTTCGGGGCTCCTATAATTCTCTCTCTCTCTCTCTCTCTCTCTCTCTCTCTCTCTCTCTCTCTCTCTCTCCCCCCCCTCCCCCTCTCTCCCTCTCCTTCTCCCTCTGTCTCTTCCTCTCCTCTTTCTCTCCTGTCTCTGTCTATCCTTCCTTTTTCCCCTCCCTCTCTCCCTCTGTCCTCCCTCCCACACTCTCTCCTCTTTCTTCTCCCTCTCCTTCTTCACTTTCCTCCCCCCCCCCCCCCGCTCTCTTTCCCTCTCTCTTCTCCTCTCCTTCCTCTTTCTCCTCTCATCTAACCATCTATTTTCCCACCTACTGAGTAAGTGCTGGAGGTGAGGGTGGTAGGGGCCGGGAGCGGGGAGGAATGTGGGATCTAGACAAAGCCTCCTTCCCCCCGGCCATCGGGCCATGGAGGAGGCTCTCTGATGTGATAGGGTGGGCCTCCAGACTGCAGACAGCCCTCCCATAACGCCTCCTTCCCTATTCAAAACTTCTGCCTGCCTATGCCCTCTATACATTTACTGCACACAGGCTTGGCCCCAGGACTTCTTCACAAAACTCACACAATGCTCCATTCAATCTGTGGAATTGAAACAGAGAGGAAACAAACTGAGCAGGATGAGATTGTGAGGCCAGTGATTAGAACTAGTGTCAAACCACTACTACAGCCAGCCCAGCGGCACCAGCTGAAGGCCTGCTGAGGAGGGACCTGAGTGCAGTGAGGCCCTGTTTCCTCCAAAGCGGAGAGCCCTGGCTCTGGGGTCAGAGGAGCTGGGTTCAAATCATCTGGCTTCTGACACTCCCTCCTTTTGTTCTCTTGGGAGTCCCTTCACTTTGGGCCTCAGTTTCCTTTCATCTGCAAAATGAGAAGGCTGGGCTAGTTGGCTTCTGAGGTCCCTTCTAGCCCTGACTCATAGCAGGAGCTCCTTAAAGGGAAACCGAAGCTTTAGGCCTCAGTTTTTCTTTTTCACACCTCTTCCGGGGTGGCCAGCATGCCTGGGCTGTAGAGTTATGTTCTTGGATCAGCGCCAGGCCTATAGCAGTCCTGGGGAAGAATACTGACGATGCAGGCAACTGGTGGAGTACAGCGGATAGAAGTTAGGGTCTGGAGTCAGGAAGACCTGAGTTCAAATCCAGCCTCAGATATTTATTAGCTGGGTAAGTCACTTAGCCTCTGTCTGCCTCAGTTTTTTTAACTGTAAAATGGGGATAATAATTACCCATACATAGTAGGGTTGTTGTGAGTCTACTAGTCTCCTATGTGCCAGGCCCTTTCCTTTCACTTCCTTGTCTGCCTCTGGAGAAGCGGGGTTAGCTGTTACCTTTTAAACTGCCT